ACTGGCAGCCTTCTCTGCTGAGCCAGGGCGTTCCTCCGCTGTCGTCCGGCCCAGCGCTGACTCGGTTGGGAGCCAGCTGCACTCCTCTCCCTCTGTCTAGGTGTAGACAAGTGTTGGCCTTCTTTCCCGTTGTTGCAGTTGTGGAAACAGCCATGTAAAGAGGTATCCTGAAGGCAGAGAGATCTGTGGTCCATTCTTTTGAACACTTTATTTTCTTGAACTTTGGAAGAGTTTTGTAGTTTGGGGTCAGTTGTGGAGAAAGGTCTGTTGTTGTGGTCAGTCGTGTGACCCTTGAGATGGTTTGTTTTATTTGAAGCTTCGGTTGATTGACGAGTTGGTCCCTTAGTAAGAGTAGGTTTAAAAATAAATAAGTTGGTCTGGTGCCTTTTAGGACCTTCAGAAATGGACAGCTGTCTCCTCGTTGATGCAGTTGCAGTACTTTATGGTGGGCTCACATGAGCAGAGCAATGGCTGATGTTGCTCGAGTGTCGCGTATATGGGCATGAGGCATGTATTTGGAGCTAGCTAACAACTTTTTGAGGAATTGCTTTGACTGAGTTCCAGTAATCCAGCTCGGATGTTGCAAGGAAGTAGATTGTCCCTACCAGGGCAATCGTCTAAAATGGATTTTTGGTTTTTGGGGGGTTTTTGGCAGTCACAAATTATAGGTGATTTTGACAGGCAGTAGTTTATGGATGGCTAGAACCAGTGCTGAGCGAAGGACTGCAGGCCATGGATTGATCTGCCCGCTCGCAGGTGGGCTCCCGTGAGGACTGTTGCAGAGCTGGTGGAAGGTGTCTCTTCAAAATATTTGTCTTCCCGGTTCTGGCTTGCTTAGTTCTGGCCGGTTGTCTGCCAGCAGCTTGCTGATCTCCAGCAGGCTCCTGGGGCAGCAGGTCTGTGTGGGTTTGAAGGTAGAGAAACTGGTATTGCTTATGTATTGACATTTGAGTCGATGTTGTCCCATGATTTTCTCCAAAATGGCTTCATGTCCACATTGGATAAGGCAGATTATAACGAAGAGGCCTGAAAATACACAGTTGAGCATTTAGTTATTAGAGAGCGAGTTGTCAGTGTCCATCCTTCAAGGCCGACCTGTAGGAGGATCGAGTATTCCTATTGACCCCTAACGCTGCTTCAAGTTCAGTTCAAAAGTATCAGTTGATCCGTGGATCTAGTAGTGTAATAACCAGCCTCCCCTGGCTGTGGATAAGAGGAAGGCGTAGATGTGCACCTCAGCTACTCTAGTTAGCCTAGGGTAGTTGGGTAGATATAATATAGCACAATGAGAGGTCGTCCATAAGTACAAACCATGTCCCTTGTTTTAAGCCCTAGCCTGAAACATGGTTGGATGGGCTTAGTCTTGGCTGGGTAAAACTGAAGATGGCTTTCTGCTGTTTTTCCACCGTAGTTCCCTGCGGGTAAGCAGGCTCCAGTACTGGTGGTACTTGCTGTGTTTCTGTGGATCAGTGTTTGCCATTCATGCAGTGCAGAGCAGCTGGTACACATCCATCTTCAGAGGAGGTGGTTGCATGACCTCCCTAACTCGGAGAGATTTGGGTCAGAGTTGTGCGCACTGAGAAGCTCCTGGCACTCTACAATACTCAAAAATGAACTTTCCTGAAATCAGAGTTCAAAGCTGTGATAATACAAGGGAACGTGAGATGTTAGCCATGAAATAGGTGTAGTAGAAAAGCTGAAGTATAGTAGCACTGTTGTGATGTAATACTTCTCAGTGTGACCTGGAAATAGGGCGTGCTCGCATAGGCCTTGTCTACAGAGGAAAGTTGTTCCTTCTATCCCTAGTTAAACTTTCCTTTGGCAAAAACTGCTGTGTGTCCAGGCATGCAAGTGGGGTTTTGGTTCATATCTATCTGAGATTTCAGCACACGTGGATTCACATACCTGGGGTTACATGCTGATTAGAGCAGCTGTGTGTGATCCTGGCAAATGACCCTTCACTTCACTGCAGTTTGGAAGAGCATATATCCAGTCCCATCTCAACTGTAGTTACCAGTCTGCCAGAGCTGCTGGCAGAGCAAATCCAGGAGAGTCAGAGTATTCAGGAGACGGCCAAGCGCCACATCACAACCAAGCCGCTCTGACCCATCTCCAAAAACAGTGCCCCCCACCCCGCCCTCCCCCAATTACCTGTCCATGCTGTGAGCAGCTGGACCAGACTTTGTCACTGAGGGCACCAGGAAACCTCCTTGGGAGCCTAGAGAGTTTGGCACTGACTGTGGAAGGAGCCGTGACCAGGAAGAGGTTCTCCTGAAGAGCCAAGATACCAACTTGTCCAGCCCTGAGCCAAAGACCTAATTGTTGGAGATGGCCTGAGATCTAGCTTCAAACTGATGCGGGGGCTGCATAGTAAGTATTTGTGCTGTATTACAATACAATTGTATGGGGAGGTTTTAAAGACTTGGATGGGACACAGCCCTACCTACAACAGCTTAGGCTGACCGTGTCTGTGGACTTCTCTCTCCCTGACCATCTCCAAAGCCAGTCTTCAAAAGGCATCCAGGTTGGAGACAAAGCTTATTTCCCTGAAATATCCAAAGTGCCATCCCTGTTCTGCCTGTCATGCTTAACTATCCCTCCTGCTCCTGGATGACTGCTCACCTCCTTACCCGCTTCTCAGGCTGGCAGTGCTGTGGCAGCCTAAACCTCAAATGTTTTGTGCAGAAGATGTTCATCGCAGTGACGAATTCAGAAAGAGCAGCAGTAAGAAGTAGTTTACTTCATGCTCTCAGCTTTTAGCTACCTTTGTTGTCTCTGCTGCCCGACTTTGACAGTCTACTTCAGGCATTTCACAATGTGTAGGCTTACAAGGATCTTTGTGGGCAGCTGCACAGTTGGGATAATGTTAGACAGGCTTTTGAATGGAAGTCACCCTTGTATCTGAGAGCTCGTCTAATGATCCAGCCACGCAGTTGGTCCGGTAAAAGATATCGCCCGCAAAGATCCTTGGTTCTTGGATCGTTTATGGACCGTTATGGCTACTACATCACTGCAACACTGCTAAAGCTTTGGGTTCAAACCAGTTACTTCAGAGGATTTGAACAAATGGGCACTTGGAGCCATTTCAGAAGGGGGAGGGGTGCTCTTGCTCCCTGATGGGCAGCAGTTCTGGGCTGTGCTGAGGTGTGCTCACATGAAGAGCGATGCAGATGTAGCACAACCGCTGCAGGATTAATGCTGCTCCATCCGGGGGTGATGTTGGAGCTGTTTACTGCGTTTGTGTTGCTCCCAGCTTGGGCACAGGGATGGGATAGAAGAAAGGTGAAGTGTTTTGACATCTCCCTGCGCACTCCAGACTGGGAAGACTAGATGGGACCAGCTTACAGAATAGTGACAAAGCAACACGTTATTACCATTAGCATGGAGACCTTTTTATTAGGGAAATAATTTCTGTTCTATTTTTTTGTCCCCTTAGCGTCTGACATTCTGTAGCCTGCATGGACCCAGGGCATATCAGCTCTTGGAGGCCTGGCAAACCTTGGGAGAAGTGCGATGACGGAGGAGGACACTTTCACTGGCCCTTGGGGTGGCATCGTAACGGAAAGCTCCCAAGGCAGAAGAAAGCAGAAGTTGGAGAGGCTCTCAAAGAAATATAAGGATACAGAGGATATGTAGGAAGGAACCCTAGACCTGAGGCAGGGGTTGAACAGTGCTCCTGGATAATGTAATAACACTGTTCACACTCAACTGCCCAATCTAGCCTAGACCTAAATCCTGCGGAGAACACAGGATACTGGGAGTTAACTTGCATTTCTCCAAAAGGCACATCCTTTTCATGCTATTTCCATCCAAGACAAAGACGACTTGCACTTGTTTTTCCAAGCCCTTCAATAAATATGTGAATGCTCTGTCCTTTTTGGCATGTTTTATTTTGTTGATTTTTAGATGTGCATTATTATATCAGTAAAGACTTCTGTGTAGAACTTGGCTGAAGCAATTTCTTTGAGAAACAGTTGCCTGTACCAGTTTCTAATGGGATCTTGACGTGAGAGCATTGCATTAATTCCCTTGGTTACAGCACTTTCCTTTTGCAGCATTACATCTTGACCTGAAAGTAGAAGCATGGCATATTCCAGACACCAGTCCACGACCAGCTGGAGACACCACTTGCTGGCTGCTCGGGATATAAAGATAGTTGTTGTTTTTCCACCTTTACCTCTTACCCACTGCTAGTCCAGATTTTGTGCATAATAAAGCAAAATCTACCTGCCCCAGCAGGCAGGCTGTTTAAAAGCATTTTGCCTTTTCAGAGGTGTCTCCATCTTCCTCTCAGCTTTCCAGTTGTGCTCCTCACTGTCATTCTGTAACTACTCGGCATAAACCAGATATCCCAGAACAAAAGTGGAATTGCACCATCATCCATCTGGGGGTCGGACTCGATGATCTATTGAGGTCCCTTCTGACCCTAACGTCTATGAATCTATTTCCGTGAGGGTCTTGGGAGTTCAAATTCCCTCTGTTCTATAAGACCAGAATTTTTAAAGATCATGGCATTATAGCCTTTCATGACGTTTTCAGCCCAATGCTAATGAGTCTCCCATGATGATCAATTGGGTCTTGCCGCACTGGAGAGAAAATACACCTTTCTGTTGATGAGCATGGAGACTTGGTGTCGAGGCAGAGAATAGGCATGTGGTATGGGTCCTATCGGCTGCCCCTGTCATTTCAGGGACCCCCGCTATGCAGTAACCACCGCATTACACTTGTACATTGCTAAGTGCTATGGCCAAAGGTATCATCATCCTCCTCAACAGAAGTACTCTCCTCCATGACATCAGTCTCTCAGTTGATCATCTACCAACAAACCAGTCAGCTGAAGGCTGGTAGTGGACTTGGGGGACATGCTCCCAGGTGGTGATGTCCACATACTTCTCTGCACTGAGGGCAGCTCTCGCATTGCTATTTTGGGAGGAGCTGTGTGGCCACTTCTAGG